CTGAGACCATTTGGAGAGTTAAGCAGCAGCTCAAAGATTTTTCTCTGTCTCTCCCAATCTCAATATATCATGATTTTTCAAAAAAAATTATATTTGTGGGGGTTTTTAAAAGATGTATTTATTTTAATTGGAAATGCAGATTTACAGAGAGAAGGAGAGATAGAGAGAAAAATCTGTCTGCTGTTTCACCCCCCAAGTGGCCACAATGCACAGAGTTGAGCCAATCCAAAGCCAGGAATCACAGGAGTCTTCTGGGTCTCCCACACGGGTGCAGGATCCCAAACCATTGGGCCGGTCTCTATTGCTTTCCCAGGCCACAGGCTGGGAGCTGGATGAGAAGTGGAGCAGCTGGGACATGAACCAGCACCCATATGGAATCCCAGTGCATGCAAGGCAAGGATTTAGCTACTGAGTCATTGTGCTAGGCCTAAATAAATAAATATTTGTTAAAAAGAAAGTTGACCACAGAAATTAATATTGCCAACAAGAGGGAAAGGGAACTAGATATCCAAGAGAATAATTTATGCCTAGTTACAAATATTTTAAATATATTCTTTAAATTCTTTTTGAGAATCCTTCAAATACTATAAATAGCCTAACTTGATATCTCATATTCTCACAGATACAAAAACAAAAGTCTTTAAAAATATTTTATAATTAAGACTATTATTTCCCAAGTTATGAATATAATTTGATAATTCTTAAACAGCAACAGATAAGAAAATTCTTTTATTACAGATAAAACCCTAAATTTCACATATTTGGAAGTGCATATTGAGTTCCATGCAAACAATCCGCTCACCTATACCTGTGCACAGACATGCACACCCACTGAAGCATACATATACACAAACACACATATATGCACAACATGCTGCTTGATTCATTCACTGAATTAAAAATAAATCAGGGTCAAATAATCCCTTAAAAAACTGAATGTGGGGCCCAGTGCGGTGGCGCAAGTGGTTAAAGGTCCTCACCTTGCACGCCCGGGATCCCATATGGGCGCCGGTTCTAATCCCGGCAGCCCCGCTTCCCTTCCAGCTCCCTGCCTGTGGCCTGGGAAAGCAGTCGAGGACGGCCCAAGGCTTTGGGACCCTGCACCCGCGTGGGAGACCCGGAAAAAGCTCCTGGCTTCGGATTGGCATAGTATCGGCCCGTTGCGCTCACTTGGGGAGTAAATCATCCGACGGAAGATCTTCCTCTCTGTCTCTCCTCTCTGTATATCCGCCTTTCCAATGAAAAAAATAATAAAAATAAATCTTAAAAAAAAAAACTGAATGTGAATACCAAAAAATATGATATTGGCAAAAACAAACAAACCAACAAAAACAGACAAGGGGCTTCAACTAGAATAAACATATATTGTAGCCAAGAAGATCTTGTAAACATTTTGGTAGGTTTCTATAAAATATGTACTGGGAAGGCAAGTTCACCCTTCTCTGAATAACACTGGGAGAGCTAACCACATAACCTAAAGACTCAGAATCCGGAACTCAGTCTGAAGGGCAGGAAAGGACCACAAATTCCAGAGACCTCTTTTCTTGTATTTTGGTGTTTTCCTTTTGTATATGGTATCGATGAGTGTGTCGTGTGTTTATTGAGAAACCAGCCCTCACTAATATTCAGGGCTCTTCATTCTGAGTGCAGACTGTACTGGAAATTAATTGCTTCAGTGCAATCTGAACCACATCATAAATGTCATGTAGAAGTCGCAGGGAGTGAGGGGGCAGTGACAGCTCAATCCGCAGTTTCATTTAAAGGTGGGTAAAACACACTGCAACACAAGTGCTCTTCATCAATAATTTAGTCCGCAGTGTAAAGCCAAGCCGTGCCAAAGATGCCAGGGGAGCCGCTGCCTCCCTGGTTTTAATGACACCAGCAGGGAGGGGTTGAGGGGCCAGCTCAAATCAACATTCACTGCACATCTGGGCATGTCGGCAGATGAAGATATCAAGGACTGAGCTGACAGGACAAAGGGTTGAAAAAAGAAGTGTAACCTAGAAAACCTTGACTTTGCATTCTTTGTATAAATTCAAGGGAAATGACAGTTCCTAAGGTCATCTTATATAATAAAACTTCAGTGTTCTACATAGAACATTTAACCCTTTCCATCAGGTAATCAAAGAAGAGGAAAGTTTAGTTTCTTAAGTACCCTTTACAACTCTAAAAAATATTCCCATTTGTTGCCACCCCCTCCCAAAGAAGCTACTGTAATGAGCCAAATGCTAAGAGAGCTGCCCTGCTTCGACTTTTGTAGCCAAATTCCAGCTTTTCAGAGGGTTCAATACACCTGGAGGTCGCCAAGCTCTTCTTAATCCCGGGGAATTTAATATTTTGGCTATTTCACAAACTGTTTGCCTGAAACTCCAAATTTAGTTTGAGAACTGCTATTTTGTTGTAAAATAAGTCTTGCAAATTGGCATAAACATTCTTTTGTTGCCTTTTCTTTAAAAAAATAAAATGATACATACGTGTGTTTATTAACTGAAGGGTGCTGTTTCTGAGGTTTTAATGTAAACACTTAGGTAGAGAGTTTGAAAAATAAGAAATGTATGAATTACACACACAGCAATCATTTCTCATCTTCTGAGGACAGTGTATATTCCCAGGTTGTACTATTCTTGAAACTCCAGAGAAAAAAAATGCAATTAACTACTCCTATGTTTTGTATGTTTGGAGAACATCATAGCTTTACTAGGGGCTGACTGCATCCCCACATCCAGGAGACTCGGTCCTCACCAAAGGAGTATCACTAAGTTCCCATTTTCCCCAATGATTTTTTTCACCCCAACATCTGAAATGAGTAACATTCTCAATGCTGATTAGAGTTTTAAAAAAAACATCAAAACATTAAAATATTTGGCTGCATAATGAAGACTCAATCACAAGATATGTGATTTAGTAAGAAAACGTGAGCAAAAATAGGGAATAAGATTCATTTCTGATTTAATATTCTGGTAATGCTTAGTCCCTTTCAGATAACCAGTATTCATACAACTATTATCAAATATCTAAAATGTGTGAGGAAGCAGTGGCCACAATACTTTTATAAAGTATGAGTCCCCGGGGAGGCTATACCCTTAAAAGCTGATAAATCTAAATTCCTAGGTATTCCTAGGTATGGTCAGTCCATCCTGAAAATATACAATACAATTGCAAATACAGCTTTAAAATGCTTATTAGAATCAGTACATCTATTGGCAGTGATGATATTCAAAAATATAACCCAAAAAAGACTTAGTCCTGTAGATTATTATGCCTCTCATCAAATTCCTGGTACCTAGAAAATGTTATGGATCTCATCATTAGTCTGTCAGTTTCTTCTACAAACTCAAGCACTGCGAACTAGGCCAAAGATAACAGGTGGCAATCACGTAGGATTTCACAGGCTTTAGCCAGTACAATCTACTCCAACCCTTAGGATGGTCTTCCCTGCACAAGAAAATCTCACGGGTCTCGTGAAGCGTTTTATCAAACAAAACGTGACGTTGATATGCAATCCTCATCAAAAGTAAATAGTAGAGAATCTGTAATCAGGTAGATATTTGACAATGTAGAAACTTTGTGAACCCATAAATATGCCATTTGGTGGCTGATAAAATAGACACAATTAATGAAAGTCTTATTTTTCAGGTCCTAGTATTTTTGGCTTTTCTTACTTGCACTGCCATAGTTAAGATACAATCAAATGATTTAGCTCCCTTTAAAACTATATTTATTTATTCATTAATAAGAAACCAAGGTCACAGGGAAGGGGGGAGAGAAAGACATCTTCATTCATTGGTTCACTCGCTAGCCTGGCTGCAAAGGCCAAAGACTGGGCCAAGCCAAAGTCACGAACTAGCAGCTTCCTCCAGAGATCTCACCTGGGAAGCAATGGGCCCACACACTTGGGTCATTTCTGCTGCTTTTCCAAGGCCATCAGCAGGTAGCTGGCTGAGAAGCAAAACGGCCAGGGCACCAACCAGCACCTTATAGAATGCTGGCATCACAAGCAGCAGCTTTTAATCACTATGCCACAATGCTACCCTTTGATGTCATTTCATTTTTTTTTTAATTGTAAAGCCTTTATTTTCATGTTAAGAGCAGCATCTGGAAAATAAAATCTATCTGCCCATGCTTTAGAACTCTTCAAATCTGCAACATTTACATATAGTCATGTAGAGTACAGGTGGATTGTCTTGACATTGAACGAGATTTTTTGTTTTGGAGAAGTAGGCCAGTCAGCCGGGGGAAGATTTATAAAACACACGTTAATACATTTAATTAATATATATTATCTATCCAAAAAACCCAAGCCTTTGCTCTTTCTTAATTAATAAAAAGCACCTGCCAAAAGCGTGCCCAGAAGCTGGTAGATTCATCGCATCATTGGATTATAAAAGCCACCGTTGCTCCCTGTGCTGCTTGGGGTGCAGCATGAGACCTTCAACACAGCCTCAGCCAACCAAGCTGCACTTCAGGCTTGCAGCGGGCAATTGTGCTACCAAAGCAAAACAAAAACAAAAACCCAAAAAGCCCTGCACGTGCCCAGCTCCCAGCCTCTCCAGGCTCCTGGAGCCACTCCCAACTTCCCAGTCTATAAGCTTCTTGGTGCTGGTTCCCCCCATTCCTCGCCCTCCCTCTCCGGCAGACAGAGATCAAGGCTGGGTGGATGAACAAGTTCTCTAGGAGAAGCAGGTTAACAGCAGCGGCTAAGTCCCAAAGCGATTCTAATAACCAGGCATGAAAAGATTTGTGCTTACAACAAGCGGTCCTGATCACAGAAGCGCTTTTCCTGGGGGCTTTTCTCCCTGTCACACCAGAGGTGCCTTTGAACTTTGTACTTAGACCTTGCTCCACATGGAGCGGGTAGAGGTGGGGGACTGCAGGATAGCCACAGTCCCACGGCACAGCTGTTCCTGGTGGGCTTGGGGTGAAGTCCTTAGACAAATAGCCATCTTCCCCCTTTGTCCCTCCTGCCTTTGCCTGCCTGCCCCAGTAACTCTCCTCCAACTATGCTGAAGGCGTTCAGCCTGGTCTTGACCTTGACACCAAAATAAAACAAACCCCCAAAGTGCAATAACCTACCAGATTTTTGTTTTTTAAGTGTCTCCTTATGCAGGGAGCTTGCCAGTCCTCCATGGTGGTTGTTTCTATGGGGTGGAGGTGGAGTGGTGGGAGGGAGATGAGGTTGTCTCTCCTCCTACCATTTATGCTCTTCGCACCTTCAGCACGTGGACAACACAGAACTTAGAGTTAACGACCGGGTGAACTGCTCCCTTCTGCAGGAGTGGGGAGGGCGGGGGCTCCTGCACACCAAGTCACTCCAAAGGACTCCAGAGTGCGGGGGTGGGCAGTCACGTCCTGGCATGAGAAGGCGCAAGGCTGTCGTCTCTTACCAGACTGGACCCAGGCAGGGCAGCGCGCCTGGGGTCTGTCTGCATGCACCCACCCTGCCCCCCTGCCTTCCCCTCCAGGATGACCCCCAGCTCAGTAGCCCAGAGTAGAGGGTGGGACACAAATTGTCTAGAAAGCAAGCACACGCTCTGGGTGAGGTGGTGGTCCGGTGCCCTTCATGGTGGGAAACAAAAGGGAGGGTCCCCCTGGGGTGGTCTGTCTGGTCGTGTTGCCCCCACCCCCAGTGTTCTCCACAGATAGGAGTACAGAGGGCGGTGGGGTAGAGGGGGAATAGTAAGGATGGGGGCTGAGAAAAATCAGGCTTATTAAATCATGCCCAGCTTGGATGGCTGGGTTCATACCTCCTCCACTGACACTCCCCTTTCTCAGTGTCTTGAAGGGTTAAAGGCTTACTTAGAGAAAGCAACGCAGCCACCATCAGGCCTATGCCAAAGAACCCACCCCCACCACTACCTTCCGTGTCTTCTGCTGGCAATTATGCTGGCCAAACAGTGCCAAGAACACGGTGTTAAGGGGGTGGAGGTGAGGGGCTCTGAACAGCTGAGATGTGGGTGAGGCCAAGGAGCAAAGGAATGACTTGCTGAGGATGGATGGAAACCAAGGCAGAAACAATGGACTTGGTAGAAAACCAGGGCAGAAATGTATGTTCCCTCCCTCATTGCCTCCTCCGGAAGCAAGCTCTCACCTGACCCACTCCACCTGCCAGCTCTCCCAAGGTCAACAGAGAAGACCCGGGAAGTCAGTGCCACCGTAGAGGACAAGCCCTGAGAGGCTCCAAGGTGTGATGTCATTCAAATAACATCATCCTGCTGCTTCCCACCCAACTTTCTAGCCTGCCCCCTGGATGGGGCTTCGGGCTGGTGGCCTCCCACCTGAGTGTCCATGGGAGTAACACGGGTCAGAGAGATGCTTTTTCTCTGGAACTTAAAAAGTCTTTCACCAGTGGTGTCTTCCAGTGTGAGATGGCGGAGCGGTGGGGATAGTGCCCCCGTTGAGGACCACGGCCATCTCGGTCGGCTGGTACACATTGCTTCTGAATGGAGCACTGGGTCTGTGCCCCAAGCCTGCGCCATGCTTCTTGCCCACGTTGCCGCCACTGCCTCCGCCACCACCGCCACCCTCCCCGCCAGCGTGCTTCTTGGCCACGCTGTTGCTGCCGCTGCTGGTCTTCCTCCCCAAGCTGCCACTGCGTTTCTTCCCTATGCTGCCACTGTGCTTTTTCCCCAAGCTGCCATTGGAAAATCTTGCTGAACGGCGAGCTGAGCTTTGCTCGTCCATTGAGAAGGCTTTGTTCTCCATATATGTGCGTGGCAGGTGCATGTCATCGAATGCTGTCTGTCGCATCCTTGAGTGTGCTGTGTCAAAATAGTTGGGTGGGTTTTCCTGCAGGGATGGCAGGAGGGTGCAGTGGACCTCAGGGATGTCATGGAAGACGACAAAGATCCAGCCGCTGGCCACCAGTGTGATGGCCAAGGTCGGATCGTTCCAGGCCTCTTCCTGGTGCAGCATGGTGTTGCCAAGGAGGTACATGGACATCCAGGCCACCCAGATGAGCACTGAGAGGAAGGAGGTGATGAGGAGGAAGGCCCCATTGAGCTTCCACCGGTGGAACTTGCCACACAGCGTGAAGAGGGACTGCCCAGGGCCGCGGTCAGCAGCACCACGACGTAAATGAGGGCCGTGACGAAGTCCATGGGCTCGTATGCACAGGACGGCTTCGTGTCCCGCAGCACAGTCAGCACCAGCCACTCAGTGGCGATGATGACCTGCACCATCATCAGGCACAGCGCCAGGCTCACCAGCTGCCACCCTGCCGGGCTCGAGCCCTGGCGTACCAGCCTCCGCACGTGCCATGTCAGGCTGAGCAGGCAGGAGAAGCACAGGGCGAACAGCACGCCCCAGAGGAAGCGGCGCACGGAGCAGATAGTCTCGTCCATGCGGATGATAAAGGCGAAGGTCAGTCCGAAGAGGCCCAGGGTGCCCAGGAGGAAGAGAAACAGCAGGCAAGCCGGCTTCCTCTTCTCCTTGTCCCGGACGCACGGCAGCCGCACCATCAGGATGAACATCAGGAGCAGTGTGATCAGGGCACCCGCCCCGGCCACTGCCTCCACCACGATGCCCCAGACAGCATCCAGGTCACACAGGGACACATACTGAGGGAGAAGGTCCAGCCCGCAGCCCCGGGATGTGCTGGCATTTTCCGAGGCCATAGAGGTGGCCATCAGGAGCAGGAGGCAGGCGAGCACCTGGTGGGTCCTCATCTTTCTTCCTGACGCCAGGAACGTGCGACCCCAGCGGCTCCGCAGCGCGCCGGCGCTCCTGCTGGCCCGGGTCCAGTCACATCCCTGCAGCGCGGCTCCTCCGCCCGCCGCTCCCGCCTCACTGCCCGGCCCTCCGAGCCGCCTGAGGCGTCCCCTGGCCGCCCGCCCATTTTTAAAAAACACAAAAAACAATCTCATTTCCTAAGAAGATACAAAAGTGGCTAATGAGTCAGGAAGTATTAAGTTAAACATTATGAAATTGCTGACACTTTACTGTATTTTTTTAACCTACAAAAGTGCAATTTCATATGACTCACCATAGTTCTCCACTTTTTTAATAGTTGAATTAAGTAACTCTAGGGTAGTATAATATTTGTTAAACCATCTATTCAATCATTAGATATTCTGAAGCCTAATCTAGAGACCATGATTTTTGGCTCTAGATCTTTTTTAAGGCATCTGGGAGTAAGACTGCTTGATTCTTATGGATAAATTAAGAGAGATCAAGAAATGGGTAAGACTAATGTTAAGACTTTTAATTTTAAAAAAATTTATTTAATATAAAGAGTTTTTTTAGTAATATAAAGTTTTTGTTTTTTATGTTAAAATGCTAATATATTCAAATTTCTATTAAGAGATACTTCATTCTATGAATGGACAAACAGGATCTTTAACTTTATCTTAAAGAAAATAAAATATGGGTAACTGCTTTTCTACTTTTGTGCTTTTAGTGTCCAGTGAAACAGAATCATGATGCTGCCTCATGTTGAAAACTGCTACAACTCACCAGCAGTAAGACCTGAGGACAGACTTGCTGTGAAGGCTTGTAAACAAAAAAATCAGATTAATGTCCATTTTGTGAACAAAAGATGCTCCACTGTCTTTTCATTTACAGAAGAGCGAGTCCCCTGAACTCCAGACCAAAGCAGACTTTCTGATTGTCATCAGATTGCTTGAGTCTTAAATGACAATGGGAAAACTCATGATCCACAGGGTACCTGCTGTTACAAAGTTCACTAACTGGGCCCAGCACGGCAGCCTAGCGGCTAAAGTCCTTGTCTTGCAAGCATCAGGATCCCATGTGGGTGCTGGTTCTAATCCCGGCGGCCCTGCTTCCCATCCAGCTCCCTGCTTGTGGCCTGGGAAAGCAGTCCAGGAAAGCCCAAAGCACCCGCGTGGAAAACCTGGAAGAGGTTCCTGGCTCCTGGCTTTGGATTGGCTCAGCTGCAGCCGTTGAGGCAGCTTGGGGAGTTAATCAGCAGATGGAAGATTTTCCTCTCTGTGTATCTGACTTTCCAATTAAAAGAAATATTTTTCAAAAAATTTTCACTACCTAGTATGATTCAATTGAAATACTAGCATTATCAAAAGGTGCTTGACCAGGTCAAGTGAATCTCTTGCTTTGTAAGTACTTGAAGGTATCGGAAGCATGAGCCATTTCAAACAACTTTGAAGTATTTTCTTTTTCATTGTGAAGCTTAACAACAATACCTGCAACTGATGAGAATGCACATGGATTGTACTGGAGGTCTACCCTACCACCATGCATGTGTCAAAATGAAAACTCAGTAATACCAGTAGTCAACGGAGTAAGGCCCAGGCCACAGGTAAGTCTCCTGACTATACCTGTGTAGAGATGTAGCTAACTACCAAGAGTATCAATTTCCCAGTGGAGAAGTCACAGCTGAAAACATGTAATCATTACAACATCACTAGTGCACGTTATATAGATATTGTTCAAGATACAGAACAACTCAATACCGACAGCAGCAGCTATCTTTTCAATCAAGTCATGTTTTATTAAGAACACCATGAAGCATTCTACTGTTTTTGTCCCAGAAAAATAAGGGCATTTGCTTTGTTTTCCTTGGATTCTTACAACTGAGGTGACTGACTAGCCAGAATATCCCTCTCTTCCACTATTCGGAATTAGGCAGGAAGCTGTCATCCGGACCAAGCCTTCCTGTGTTCTTGCTGAAGTGCATTAGAGAGTAAAAAACAGTAGATGGATTCTTTTTCTTCAGTTGATTTTTTAGCACTGAAATCACAAATTTTACAATACTGGAAGAAAAAATTAATTAAAAAGCTAAAACTTTATCTTATGTTTGTATTCTGTTTCTTCAAAGAAATTACAAATTCAGTCTAACTCTCATTACCCCTGAAGGTAAAAGAGACCTTAACTCTAGAGATTACATTTTTACAGTAATTATTACATATTACATCAAGTGTACAGGTATTACAATTACTGCAGGTGTCATAATGTGTGCAATGAAATACTAGAAAGAGAAGTAATTCAAAACCAGTAACAATTACAAATTCCATCCAAAGAAATATCCCAATGAATAAGAATTTTTAAAAGCAATATCTTTGGAAATATAGGTATTTTTTGTCAGTAAGTAGAACACGCTGAAGAAACTACTTGGGCAAAACTGGATGAATTCAACAAACACCTCATTCTAAGAATTCAACCCTTTCATCATGGAATCTGAACCTGCAGGTACAGTCACAACTCAAGTAGGAGGAAACTACCAGTGATGAGAATTATCGCTTCTCTGGTCCCATCCATCCTCCATGCCAGAATGGTGAATCTGTCATGAAGTCAAATACTGCCCACAAGAGGGAACCATTTGCCGGGGCATTTATTCTTGCATCTTCCTTTGTAACCATGGTGTGAAACAGCAATAAACACTCGTGGCTACATGGGGCTGTGTTGGGGTGAGGAAACAGATATTTTACTAGGAAAAGGATGGAATGTGTAATTAAAGATGGCAAACATCTAACATCTCAGCTACCTTCAGCTGTTTTTGAGACCCTGAAGGAAAGCAGGTCCATCAGCGATCTGCAGGAAGGTTGGAGGGTGTGACGTTGGCAAAGGGGTAGAAGGACTTTTAGAAGAGACAGGGAGACAACATTCCAAATGGACTTTTTTTTAAAAAAAAGATTTCTTTTTATTATTTTCTTATTGGAAAGGCAGATATAAAGAGAGGAGAGACAGAGAGGAAGATCTTCCGTCCAAGGATTCACTCCCCAAGTGAGCGCAATGGCCAATGCTATGCCGATCTGAAGCCAGGAGCCTCTTCCAGGTCTCCCACGCGGGTGCAGGGTCCCAAAGCTTTGGGCCGTGCTCTGCTGCTTTCCCAGGCCACAGGCAGGGAGCTGGATGAGAAGTGGAGCAGCTGGGACATGAACCGGCGCCCACATGGGATCCCGGGCGTGCAAGGTGAGGACCTTAACCAGTTGCGCCACCGCGCCGGGCCCTCCAAATGGACTTTTTAAAATTCACTTGGGCTTGCACAATATGTTTCTTGAAAGAGTTTGAAGCCCAATATATAAAAAGGTGACTATTTATATATTTGATTGCTTAAAAGCAATTAGGAATACAAAGCAGATGGTCCAGCATTGTAGATTTCCCTTTTCATATTGCTTAAACACTAGAGATCAATAAGTCTAATATAAACAGATGATTTCCAGAGCAGGGTTTATAACTAGCTGACACTGAATGTGTCCAAACTCTAAAATAATTAGCAGAAGCATGTGGCACACCATTAAAACTTTGTGGCTTGCCTGCATTTACATTTATACTTATTAAAGTTAATTATGATGCTTGTGGTGTGGTTCCAAGCTCCTTTACAACTTAGATTAAACATTTTTTAATCCCATAAGTTCTTTTCTAACCTTTCTTCAGTCTCTAGAAAACAGTTAAATCAAACCAGATTAGGAATGTGTAGCTGCAACTTCTTGCTCCACAGAATTAAAATATGACTTTATCAGGAAAGATAGGCTCTTCTCAAAGAACTTGCAGCTCTTGGTACTGATAACAACATTTCGATCTTGAATTTTAATTTGCCCATACTGCCGTGCATAGGCAGAATAACAATGCTTGCAAGTCTTGGCAGTGAAAGCTGTCATTTTGAGAACTAAATGAATGGCACGTTGGTACCAACCTATCTCCTCAATTTATTACATAGCAGTAGAGAAACTAAAATAACATTCTTACATAATGTCCGTGAGTTAAAGTATAAATAAAAACTGTGTATTTTATAATGTGGGTAGTATTTTACAGGAGAAGGAGTCCGTTACTTTAAAAGTTCATATCTCCTGAAAAGGTATTTAGCCAACCCTCCCCTGCACAAGGCATTTTTAAAATGTTCAAAGGAAATACTTGTTATGAAAAAACTATACCAGGATTTCATTTTCTTGGAACCCAAATAAATCTGCTTTTTCATCCTACTTTTCTATGAACTTGCTTAAGTTCCCTTCTGTTGACGGCCCTGGACACAACAAAAGGTAAAACACAGATCCTGCCTTCTCAGCCACAACCATGAGTGTCTCCAACACACCCATGGTCCCCTGACCACAAGAACACTTTTCTTTAAATCCACATCAAGAAATACAACATGTTTTTGTAGGTACAATACTTAGATGTAGTCTGTCATCTTAACTGGTCAATGTTCTCAATACAGATCTCATTAAATCTGAAGGTCTTTTATATGTGATCAAGAACATTTGATGAACATCTGCAGGTAATACCCTGCGTAGTACACCAGGCCAAATTTAAACATGGATCCTTTAACAGAGGTTGTAAGTCAATGCATCACAAAAGGGATATGAAATACCTAATTTTCCTCATTCTGCTCACAATTATCTCTCCTATTGTATTCAAGTTATCTTTGCTCAACAAACGTAATAAATGTGTTTCCTTTAGAAAGTCCCGTTGGCTTGAACAGTTTAATTTGTTAGTATTTTATTTTGTGGTGCATTGTATTTGTTGATAATTTATATAAATTTCACATACAGTTAGTATCTTGGGTAAAAAATATATTTTTATCCTTTTTGGCTTTCCACACAATTTCTAACAGAGTTATATGTCAGTTTAAATATATTTCCCTCATCTACCTACAAACTACAAAAGACATCTCTTAAATACATAATTTCCAGCCTGCTTTTCTGACAAAGAAACATGTTAATCAAAAATGACCACACTGTTCATCATAAAAAATCTTTTTTCATTGCTTCTCCCTGTTGCACCATTTAGAAATAAAAATATTCTTCATTGAAACTATTAAAATAAAAGAAATTCATGTTGCTTTCAATACTAATGAAATATTTACAGACACAAAGACACTCTCATCTTAATGTGGTAGACTAAAAGGAAATGAGGTAATATCAGCAGCACGATTTTAAATTATTTCTTATTT